GCTGTCTTAAGTGCTTCTCTCCCCAGAGAGACTCTGGTAAAGAAGAATGAGAGATCATACTTCTTACCATATCCTTAAGAGTCCTATTTCGTCTTTCAGCTACACCATTCATGCTAGGTGAACCTGGCATAGTGTATTGTGGGACGATACCGTATTCCTTTAGGTATCTAGCAAATGGTCCTGGATGTTGTTCACCTGAACCATCATATCTGCCGTAGTACTCACCACCACGATCAGATCTAACGGTTTTAATTCTTCTGTTGAGTTGATTCTCAACTTCAGCTTTATAGGATTTGAACATGTCCAGAGACTCAGATTTTTCATGAATAAGATATAGGTGTCCATAACGTGAGTAATCGTCTATGAATGATATAAAATATTGTTGACCATTCCAGGATTCCGTAGGGAATGGCCCACAAATATCCGTATGTATCAATTCTAAGACATCCGAAGATCTGTTGGCACCTAATCTTTTCACTTTGGTCTGTTTTCCCTTGATACATTCAACACATACGTCGAAGTCCGAAAAATCAAGGGAATCCAAAATGCCATCAGACACAAGACGCTCAACTCTACCTTTTGAGATATGACCTAAGCGCTTATGCCATAATGTCGCCGAATTTTCCTTATTTAATTTACGCTTAGTACCACGTGATTCCACATGCAAGGATTCATTATAAGAAGCAATTGTATCAAGCAAATATAGGTTGTCATAAGTACTTAAGTAACCGGTTCCCACAACATTTGAATTAAAAGATAAACTGAATTGACTGTTTCCAAATGAACAAGAATAACCTGATTTGTCCAATACAGAAATAGAAACTAAATTCCGTCTAAAAGACAGTACTACAAAAGTATCTTTCAAATCCAAATAAGAACCATTTCCTAACAACAACCTAAAGTGCCCAATTGCTTCCATATTTACCGATTGTCCGTCGCCCACAAATATGTCTCTTTCAACATCACTTGACTTTCGGTAGCTCAGACAACCCTGCATAGAAACACTTATGTGAGTAGTAGCACCAAAGTCTAACCACCAAGTGTTTCTAGGTACTGAAGCTAAATTAACCTCAGAACAGACCAAAGTAAGGAACGTACCCTTATTAGCACGCCAGGCATGATATTTTGTACAATCCTTCTTTACGTGTCTAGGTTTGTTACAGAAGAAACAACCCTGATTATCCTTATGTTGTTTCTTCTGAACTGGACCCTTAGCAGCTTCATTATCATTCTTCCTTTTCTTACCCTTTTCCTTAGAGGCATAGGCCAAATGAGCACTTTCTGTCTTATCTTGCTTCAACCTGTCTTCTTCTTGCACACAGTATGAAATGAGCTCATTTAGAGTCTATTTCTCCTTTTGGCAGTTATAACTGACCTTAAACTGATTGAATTGTACAGGAAGAGACAACAAACCAAATGCACTAATAACTCATCACAAAGATCGAGTTTAAGTGCCTTAAGCTTTGAATCAATATGAGACATTTCCATAATGTACTCCCTGATATTTCCTTTGTCCTTATACTTCATTGAAATCAAGCGAGCTAACAGCGTGCTTGTTTCTACCTTATCGTTTTTCGCAAAACGCTTCTCAATTTCGGCAAGGAAATCTTTATCCTTAGTAATCCCTTCGGATTCTATGCCCCTGAAGGCTTTCGGAACGCCGCGCTTAATGATCATAAGACTCATGCGATTTGAACGCTCCCACTTCTCATGCTCCTTCTTTGCATCAGGAGTGCTATCCGCATTGAGAGGTTGGGGTTGTTCAGTTCTTAATGCATAGTCAAGATCCATGCAGCCAAGAACAATTAATATGTTCTCTTTCCAAACCTTGAAGTTTGTCCCATTTAGCATGGGAATTGAGTTGATATTAGCAGAAATTATTGCAGCAGATGCATTAGCTGAAATAAAATAAAAATGCTCACATCAATAACCATAATTAATAATCAATAAAATTCAAATAATGACAAATCCCATCCAAGATATCTGGCACAATATTAATATCAAGTCTTTGGACAGTAATATTAACTTGTAAGTGATACCTTGTTGCAATGATCAAACATTGATAATAACTCATGTCAAATAATAAAACTATCTTTGGATCGATTCATTATTCACATGTAAACCTTATAATTGTTACACGCTTATCATCGTAGATGTGTATACAGTCTAAATAAATATTAACCTTCCTTTGGGCCAATTAAATATTTACACGAAAGCATACACACAAACATCTCACATTCCTCATGAACAATCTACACAAGAGAGGTTACTTTGGCAACTTCTTGTTTCAATTAATCAATTAGTGTGAGAGACAACCTTAATACCTTAGTGTCATAATATTTGAATTAAATAATTGATTAAAAACCAAATTAGATTTAAATTTAATTTAAATCAACTGCATTTCCAAAAACTTAATTGGGGTCTCACAGCTTAATTAGGGCCCATAACTTAATTGAATAAATTAAGTATACCAAAGTGGACCCATGAAAAGCCGAGGCTTAACCATAGTGAACACGAAGTTCGCTTGACTTCGAACGCGAGGTTCGGCTGTATTGAGTACAAGACTCACTTAAGCACGAACACGAGGTTCGTCTGAAAATGAACGTAATGTTCAACTTGAGAACGAACGCGAGGTTCGTTTGAAAATTGAACGCGAGGTTCGACTGAAAACGAACACAGGGTTCAACTTGAGAACGAACGCGAAGTTCGTTTAAAAAATGAACGCGAGGTTCAAGTTGAGAACGAACGCGAGGTTCATTTGGATTGAGCATAGGGCTCGCCTGAGGATGAACGCGGAGTTCGACTTGAATTGAGCGCGAGGCTCACCTAAGAACTGAGCGCGAGGCTCACCTGATAACTGAGCGCGAGACTCAACTTGAATTTGAGCGCGAGGCTCACCTGAGAACTGAGCGCGAGGATCAACTTGAATTGAGCGCGAGGCTCACCTGAGAACGAACGCGAAGTTCGTTTAAATTGAGCGCGAGGCTCACCTTAATCCTGAGCGCGAGGCTCACCTGAGAACTGAGCGCGAGGCTCACCTTAGACCTGAGCACGAGGCTCACCTTAGAACGAACGCGAAGTTCGTTGAGCGCGAGGCTCACCTTAGAACGAACGCGAAGTTCATTGAGCGCGAGGCTCACCTTAGAACTGAGCGCGAGGCTCACCTTAGAACGAACGCGAAGTTCGTTGATTTGAGCGCGATGCTCACTTGAAAACGAACGTGAAGTTCGGTTAAATTTGAGTGCGATGCTCACTTGAGAACGAAAGCGAAGTTCGTTTGAAGCTTTCAGCTTCGCCAAAATTTGAGGTAACCACCTCCTTAATGTTCGCCACGTTTTCACGTACGAACCCTTAGGGTTCCAAACTGAAACCGCCGCCGACCAAACCCAAAAATTCCTCGATTTTTATTTTCAAAACCAGATCCATAATCGGAAAAATTTTGTGATCCAGATCCAAGAAAAAATCCAAAAAATTCCAAAATGTTACTGTTCATCCAAAAAAACACGTTACTGTTCATCAAAAAAAGCATGTTACTGTTCACCCAAAAATTTTCAGCAACCGTTACTGTTCATCCGAGAACAGATCTTAATCCAAAAAACCAGAGATTAAAGATCAAAAACTCAATTTTAAAATCTTAAATCCCTAAGAATTAATCAAACCTGGCTCTGATACCACTTGTTAGATCTAAATAAAAACTTGAGATCTAAAACCATAAAGCCATGATTAATTCGAAGAGATTAACAAAAATCAAAAGAGCGGAAGCTTATACCCTGAATCCATAGATAAAACCTGAGATGGGTTTTGGATCTTCTAACCTTAGGGTTTCTCTATAGCCGAATTTTCTCTCTAGATGAGGTGAAGAGAATTAGAGAATGTAACCCTAGATTAGGGACCATAACCCCTTATTTATAGATGTTGTACATTTACAATTTGGCCCCTCAACAAATCACAATCACAACCTGGTATCTGCACATATAACCCCATGACTTATTTAAATACCCAATTAACCCAAATTAATTGATCACTTTAGTGGGTTATCCTGAAAGATAGCAATACACATTGATTAATCATATGTGTCCACAATTAGATTTATTAGATTAAATCCAACAAGAAAATCCGAAATAGCAAAGCCCTTTATTTGAACCCTACGCTTGAGAGAGTCTTGCTAAGATGTTGATGGACTTCTTATACAAAACATGGTTCTTACAGCCGGCCAGAATATCTACAACATTAGATACCTGCTTACTCTCGTGTCATATGGTGTACGCGCACTTCATGAAAATAAAAGAAAATCAGTAACTGAGAGTTAAAGTAGGGCTTAAACTTGTACGTTTGCTCCAACCAACCAGACAGATCATTTGTGAAGACTTTTTTTTTCAATGGTAAGGATTTTTAGGCGCACAAGATATTTGCAGTGACAAATGAGTATTTACCGATGACACTCGAAAGAACTAGTGCTAGAAAAATATCCACATCGCCTCTCGCACAAGTTAAAATTTGAGTCCTTTCACTATGAAGAGATCTGGTAATAGTTGTGCACATCGCCTAGCTCAATTTGCTCTCAAATACAAATATATCCTTCTTTCGAATCTTTTTGAGGGTCCAGGTTGTATATGTAACCAAATTATCTATGAAGCAATTTAATTGAGTTCTTTCGAATCTTTTTGAGGGTCCAGGTTGTATATGTAACCAAATTATCTATGAAGCAATTTAATTGAGCCCACCTTTGGTTCTCACTTTATTAAAAACCTAAGAAGAGCTTTAAACAAATCAAATATATTTGACCATATATTAATTGCGTTCCCTGGACATTCAATGATGTATTCATGAACAATTCAACTACCAGACTTGAACAAATAAACTTCTTACCTGCCAATTCACATGAAAAATAAACAGAAAACATTCATATGAGCATAACAAAGACTTGCACAATTTCTAAGCCCACCAGCTAGGACTGATCACTGGCCACTTAACACATGAAAACATCCTGACAGCAAAAAGAAAACAAGTACCAACCAGTATATAACATCATAAAAAAAATCCAACCAAACAATGAACACAACCTGTGGTAATCTATGAACCTGCTATAGCCTCACTAGCACAAATGAATATTCAATAAAGCCAGATATAACACACATATACACACCAAGGGAAAGACACAGATGAAACCGGGGGAAAAAAAAGAAAAGGATCGTGTAGTACTGTCATTCACAACAAATATGCCCATTTCCAAACCAAGACTGTGTGTAAAGTTTCAAGATGCGTCACTTTTCGCAGTTTCGGAGCCAATATGCCCTTCATCACCACTGCCCTCTTCATCAGGTGTCCTCTCCTCGCTCTCATCAACAGGCATTGCTTGCGGAACCGTAACTGAACTCGAGCTCACCTGCTGTTCACAGGTCAAACTCGTAAGTCCATTCTGCTTCAAATAATTCTCCAATGGGAGACTAGCCACATGAAGTAGGCTCATCATGCTAACCCTAGATGAAGACTGAAGCCCCTCTGGTTGGCAATTCAAATCTATCTTCCCTTTTCCTGTATCAATATCACCCACTACAGAGGCTTTTCCAGCGTCCATGCCCAATTCATTCTCCTTTTGGATACTACTCCCTTCAATTTCTTCTTTGGCTCCCCATGGAAGCATCATGCCCAATTCATTCTCCTTTTGGATACTACTCCCTTCAATTTCTTCTTTGGCTCCCCATGGAAGCATCAACCTTTTGTTGGCTTCAGCTTCTTCACGCTCAGACTGTCGCTTTTTCTTGCGAAGCATTAGGGTTTTAAACCGTCGTTTTACAGTTAAACACACATTACATGTACAATTTGGGTGGTGTTTTGGGCCTTTGCCACTGGGGGGCTGGATGCAAACAATGCAAGTGCAGCCTGGACGGTGCCTTGGGTGCTTGGTTGTAGTTGCAGAAGCTGAGACTGTGGCTTGATTTGTTGTGTCACCGATAGATGCAGCAGTGGCTAAGGCGTCGAGGCCGGATGCTTCAAAGTCCGGAGTGTTTTGCTTGGAGATTGAAGTTCTCATCATTTTTATTTCTGCAGAATTTTTGGAAGGTATTAACTCAAAAAGGATCCAAGATGGTTGAAGAACGATCAAGCACAACTAATGAGCTTGATCACAAACTAGACCGTTCTAATACTGAACTACATACACTTAAATAGAGCTTTAACTTGGGTAAGTTGGTATCTATATTATGTAATGACACGTGTATGCCTCAAATTTCAAAGAACAGGTAAGAATAGTTACACAGACCTTTCAGAACTGCAATAAACCATACATATCAATTGAAAAGAGAGGTAATGACTTCTATGTTCACGAGGAAAGAATGCCCTACTTTTTTTTCAATTTCAGAAAATCAAGCATCTGTATCAGGTCAGAGAAGATAACCTATCCTTGAGTTATTGTCCTTTGCAGTTTGCATTAACAATTTTAAGCAAATTAGATTCATAAGGAAGCGGGAAAGTAAAGGGATTGAAAATATTTCCAGTTAGGCAAGTGAAAGAAGAAGTGAAGAAAAATAAGAAAACTTTTTATCTATATTTTACTTCTAGGTAGCTAGAAACGTTTCCTTCCACTTGTTATCCTCTCCTTTCCTTTTCTTTACACCATCACATTCTTGTTTCCATTCAGGTGGTTCTCTACAATGGAGAATGCACTAAAAACCCTCAAGTCCCTACCATGTACAAAATACTTCAATAAAATTGGGGCTTCTTTACCATCACATTCTTGTTTCCATTCAGGTGGTTCTCTACAATGGAGAATGCACTAAGAACCCTCAAGTCCCTACCATGTACAAAATACTCCAATAAGATTGGGGCTTCTTTACTGATGCACTTTAGTCTGTAAATGAGGCAAGCATCTGTTGCCATGTGAAAAAACCTTCCCCTTCTCGTCCCACATCATGAATTATAAAAGACAGGTTGCGCACCTGCATCCTGTCGAAGAAGATTATGTATTTCTGTTGGGCTCAATTCATCCGGCACAGAACAAGAAGATCTGCAAACAGACCATACACGTCAATTTAAGTCAAGAGCAGTTAATTAATATACTTCAGTATCATTATTTGGAAGAAGTACGCTTAGTGGGAAGAAAATGTCTCTGAAAAAAAAGAGATAAAGCTAAGCTTGTGAGGAAATACCAGGACTTAAGAATAAAAAACACAATAAACAAGAAGGATAAAAAATAATTTCATTGGCTGAAAATTATCCTACAAAAAAAATAGTTTTGAATTCATAAAAGTTTTGAATTCATGAAACTGTTGCTGCTATGTGGAGTTTAGTTTTGCATTCATGACTCTGTTACTGCTAGTCGGAGTTGTACATTAAAGGGGGGAAATCTGCAGGACAGAAGCATGTATTTGGCAAGCGAAAGTAGAAATAAAGGTTTCCAGCTAACATTTCTATAGAACATGGACAGGAAAATTGTATATATCTGCAATTTGTAGAGTTTGATCTTTAAAAATTTTAATCATCAGTGCAATAGTATAAATTTTTACATGAAAGTTAATATTTTCTGTTAGTTTATTTGTATTCTCTTTTCTGTTCTTCAACCTCTAGTGGCTCATATAACAACTACCTGCAAACAAAAACAAAAGAAACCACCTGCTGAATCCTTAATCAAACATGAATCAAGAACACTGACCTGACTCTCATAATCAATGCCACCTGCCACTAAGCCAGAACAACATAGTGGACCAAATCAATGAGGAAACAAACTGGGTCTTAAGTGTGATTTTAGGCCAAAATGCTATATGGTGTGATTCCTGAGAATGACTCTTTTACTATTTATCTTGAAATCCTTTTCCACTAACAGCTACACAAACTCCTCTTTCGACCAAATTCTGAAACCCCTGCAATTTGCATATTGTGTCATCAAACATTCTTTTCCACCGAGTCCCTTAGCACTTCAAACAAAATAATGTCTTACTGTTTGTGACCTTAACTGCACTTTTTTTCCCTAACCAATATCCACAAAAGTTGTTTTCCTTAGAAGATTCAATAGTATCAGTGAGGCTCACTCCTTATTGTCAGCCATCTCGTTTCGCATTTCCACTAAAAACTACACAAACTCCTCTTTCAATAACACCAAATTCTGAAACCCCTGCAATTTGCGTGTTATGTCTTCAACATTCTTTTCCACCAAGTACCTCAGCAATTTGACCAAAATCCTTACCATTGATGACCTCCGCTGGGCTTGTTCTTTTCTAATCAACATCCAGAAAAATTGTTTTCCTCAAGAAGATTCCATAGTATCAGTGAGGCTCACTTCTAACTGTCAGCCTTCTTGTTTCGCATTCCATGTTTGAAGTGTTCACCTCTGTTTGCTCTTTAATTATTAGACATCCTAGAAGACATGTCGAAATGCTAATTTTGTAAGATTTATAGATAAGGACATACTTCCTATATGTAAACTTTACAAAAAGTGTTGGCCTGCTTAATCACCAACCCCCTTGAGACAAAATCAGAAGAAATGCATTCTCTCACCAATACTTGCCCCTTTCTCTCTCTCTCCAATCAATCAAGAAGAGAGAATAGATTCATATACATGTATTCCTCCTGTTTCAACTTTGTAGCCCGCAAAAGGAGAAAGGGAAGAAAAGAAAACATTGACGTTCAATTACCATGGTGAGACTCAAAAAGATAGTTTGAAGAACAACTACTACAAGTCTCTTTATGCGGGAAACAACTTTTAAATAGTTAGTGTAAAACACAATACACGTAGAATCATAATCAAGAAAATCAAATTGCACATATTCGCACCTAAACAAGAAATCATGATTGATATCACATGAAAGGTTAAGCAAGTCTTGCAGAAACAAAAAGCTAACCTTCTCGGGTCACATGTGTTGTCAGCACACGTCCAGTTTGAAGGAACAAGAACATCCACAGGCAAACGACGCCATTTGAAGCAATCATCACATTGAATCCATTGATCTTGTTCCCTGATAATATACTCAGTTATTCAACATTAAATCAAAATAAAACTGAGAATATTAGTTATCGAGAATGTTTGATTTCTGCAAAACCAAATTTGTGTATATAATTAGAAATTTTATAGTCTAAATTCAAATGAACATTTAGCTTTGAACTCCAAACTTCAAATCAAGCACTTGCATTGTTTTTATTGAATTTTGACTAAATCCTTAATAATAACTTGCTCAAGGGAAAAAAAAGGAGAAGAAAAATAGAAGGGAAATCAACCATTTATATTTGCAGTAATTCAGTAACATTTTTCTATTTCTGGGAATGATGTGATATGAATTAAGTCATTGCACCATGAATTTCAGTTTGACATCAGCTTAACCCCTTCAAGACGAGCACATATAAGTTTTCTACCAAGTATACAAATCACATGTAAGATTGTGACATTTTCAATAAAGTGTACCTAGGAAAACTTTCCCTTTTTTGTGCTTTTATGTCACAAGCTGCGCATAATTTATATATACGAATGCCAATTTCCAGAGTAAAATATATGACTTGAAATATATGAAGAAATAGTACTATGATTTAAGATAAATACACACATTATTATCCATGCTCATATATACTCACTCATATGTATCTTTAATGTGAAAATTTACACAGTAAATAATTAAATTCTGAAAGACCATTGTGCTTACCCAGATAATTGGGCCGTGAAAATTGTTCTCTTGCCAAAAACTGGGGGTTCCTGCAGATACATAGTAGAATGTTTCAAATGGAAGAATTAGCTGCATGAAGTACGACATAAGAAGTGCAGTAAAAATAACCAGAAGTCTATAAATGTTCACCTCGTATTCTTCAAACTCCTGATCCTCGATCATTACAACACTAGGTTTGGCAATTGGAGGTGGGCGCAGCAAGTCTTGTGCCTCCTCCCATGAAAGCTTCAGTTCTAAAGCGTCATCGTTATCCATATGTAGCCTCTTGCTTTTGCCACCAATATTACGGCTTCTTTTCTTCTCTTGAGCCAGTGAAGGCTGCAACAGGAATCCGTCATTTGACCTGCCTCCATGTGTGTCTGTCTTTTGCCAACTAACATCACTGTCAGCTAAATTCAAATGTTCAGATAAATAGCTCAAGCGCGGAGCCGCAGTTCCCTTCAGTGACTGAAGAAGTCCAGAGTAACCACTTACTATAGATAGGTTCTCATTAACACCCGAAAAGAAAGTTTCATTGCCAAGACCAGCATTAGCAATTGCAGATATCTGAGAATCCTGCCGGACATTTATAACATTAATAAAATCAGAACTAAAGCAGTATTTTAGGATGACCGCGCTGATGCCTACTAAAATATGCATAGTATAGATTAATCTCTATTGATACAAGGAATAATCCAAATTACAGGAAATGGTTCTGACAACAACAGAAATTTACAGAGTGGGTGCATGCTGTTGACCAAGTTGAAAAAGATTTCAGGGAGGTTCTTTACCTGCAAAGGCACAGAGTTAGTCGCCTTTCGAAATCCCATAATGAGTTTTCCTTCAGGATCCATCCGACTGAAAGTTACTGTAAGACAGAGGCCCCAAAAAGGAGAATAAATCACTCATTTTTAATTTTCTCTGTGTCAATGCTAAACATACAAAAATAAGCACACGCAAGGATGAAAATTACTGTACAAGAAGGTTAAAGAAAATAGGCATTTCAAAACTCGTGTCCTGCGCGAAGCATGAAAACATTAAACAAAGTGTGAGGAAACATAATGCACGCCTAAATAACTGATACCAGCTATAGACAACTTTGGAAAATGATTAGTACTTCCAGTGTTCAATCACTTCATCCATTAACTATAATACAAAATCCTCAATCCTTATGTATACACATTCTAGTGCCAATTGTTTTCGTCCAAAAGACCGTTTCGATCTCCAAACGAGTGTCAAAAGATGTTGATACATCCATTCAGACCCATGTATGTTCAAAGAGTTGACTAATAAAACATGAATCAAGCATGATTTACATATGATAATTGCAAATAGATCTTTTTTGTACTTCTCTACAGACAAAGGTTTATGAGGTTGAGATAGAACCTGGTTTCAAAGCAGAGACTGTAAAATACAAAACATGTGATTTATTTACCATGGAAGTACATTCCTATTGTGCAATAGTACATCAGAATTTGTAGGAAGGTTACAAGATCTTCTACTTATAATTCCCGACCCTACTAATCCCAAACAAATTTTCCAAAAAATTCTCGAAATAAATAAAAACAGAATACGCACACTAATTGTTAGTATGAGTCTTACATGTTGGAAAAGCATGGGTGAGGCTTATGTGGGCAATAGGCATGTATTCACATTAAAGCTGCTATTATGAATGCACACATAGTTTTCCAAAGCGCTATATAGAAGAATACATGTGATGGTACTACACATTCCATTTCTCTGCATGCCAAGTCATTTCTCTTTAAAAAATTGTATAGTGTGCAATGCCCAACCATACATGAGAAGCCATCCAGCAGGTGAATACATGTGATGCTACTTGTTTTACCTATAGAAAAGTTTTAACTCATATAAGTAAGACATTTTGGACTGTATAAGCATTGACGACCAATTGAATAGAAGGTAAAGATCTTTGACTCGGTAATATGTTTGGATATTCTGATAGACAGGTCAGGCCATAGGGAAGCTAGAAATTAGTTCACTGAATTCTGAGAAAAAACAGAAGGAATGTGCATCATCAGGTTACAGATTAAAGACTATAACTGTTCATGGCTGCCGTGATAATGAATAACCAGGTACGGTTTTCCACTCTTAGTGACGGGGATTCTCATTACCTGTATCACCAGCTTGCAATTGCAGGGACTGTATACATGGAGTAACACCCTCCAGAACATACATTCTGCTGTTATTATTTGGCCAAAATCTAAACTGGAAATGCCACTCTTTTCCCTTAGCATCTTGAATCTTTAATGGAAGACCTTCTGGTTGAGAAATTGGAGGGAAATAGGCCTGCAAAAGAAACTTAAATAAAATGCACTAACGAAGGAAAGGAAACGAGAAACAGAAATATGTTGTTTCCCACATCTGAGCTTCACAAACAAATCAGCCATCTTGCACTCATGGTGTAAAGGCGAGAAAAAGAGTAATATAACAATAGCCAAGGCAAACACACTGCTAAAACAACAAAACTCAATGCCACATTTTGCAACTGCAGTCTGATGGGCAACGAACGATGCATTGCATAGTGCATACAAGTGTTTAAGCAGAAAACAAGTCGATCATGATAGAAAATCTAATTCCATGCATTCATGAATTTGCTTTGAGCAAGAACAATGTATCCTTTTTAACAACATGCAGCATGCTGTACAAGCAAAGGCTGAAGGGTAAGCACAAGGAACCACATAATAAAGGATGAGAATTACCTCTGCACATGCCTTAGGAAGAACTAAACGACCAATCCTCCCAGCATCACTTGCACTCAAAACTTTCTCAAATAGTGGAACGATGGTTGAATTAGAACTTCAAAATTGGAATTTGAAATTAAGGAAATCAAGGTACGGCATATATTGAAATGCAATGGTATGAAATAACAGAAAATCAATTGAAAATCACACCATTCCAGATCCAGTTACAATATGAATTTAGATTGGATACTCTCCAGATATTTGCTGTAGTTCTTGATCTGTGATCCTAGGCCAGTAACGTGGAAGTAACTGATTCCTTCCCCTACCTTCAGCAGGGGGTCTTGCTACACGCATATTTGAAAGCATCTCCTTCGATGCCTCTGAAGAAAATGTTTGGCCTGTTTTGGATGGCTTGGGAAGAAGATGGCGGGCCCTTTGCGCTTGCTGCAAAGCAGATAGTGATCTACTTTGATCCCTTCCATCTTCAACTCCACTAGATGGGCGAATTCCAGTACTAAGAGCAGGTTCCATAGTGGTTCTTTGGTTTGAATTCCCCAAGCTAATATTCAAACAAGCCTGCGTGAGTGATTCACATAGCATGTTATCCTTCATAACATCTTTACCATAATCTCGTTGGGAAACTTGAGATGATGCAATATGAGCTTGATTTGAAATATGTGCATTTCCCACCTTCCCTGCATGAAATGCCATTTGCTCTCTTTTAATATGCCCAAAAGATCCATTTAAGCTTTCTCTTCGGGCCAGAAGCATATTGTTTTGTCCATTAACCTCCATGTTTTTGCCTAACTGAATAGCCTTGCCCTTGCTAATTACATCCTCGTCCACTCGTACGTTGGAGTCTTCATTTGCCTTCTCGTCTTTTTGACTTCTACCTGCTAGAGAGAGAACTCTTTGACTGGATTGAGGCAAAAATTCTTGAATGGTTTCACTTGGAATCTGCATAAAAGTCTTAAACGGATGAGACCTTTCTTCCTTCTACCTCTCAATGTGTGCATGCGCACATAAGTGGACTATAATCCATTTGTTAAATGTATTTACAAACACATGAAAACTGGCTTACAAAAGAAAGTCCAGAATTCTTCATGCAGCTAATACACTGGACTCCTCCGCCATCTAGTAGTTCGAATAAAGATTTGGAAGCAATACATCCACAATGAAGCCGCTGCATTATTCCAATAAGTACTAATTTACATGGAAAAAGTGGTAGGAAGAAAGGAAACTAAAAAAGAAGTGTTACAAAGCCACCGTCTTACCTTGCCACACAAAAGGCACTCCCTCCAGCCAGACTCTTTCTGGTGAAACAAGTCGCAGAAAACTGATTGCTCATATGCCATTCTGAATCAAACAGAGCAACATTTAAGCAACAGATGGGTAAGATAAAATCAATAGAAATTATATTGCAAGAGACTAAGCTCATAAAATATTTTTAAGGAAGAACTTATGTAATGGTCAAGCGAAAAAATATCATTTCATTAGGTGTCCATTTGTTTCCCTTCTGCTATTTAAGAGCATGGAGGCAGTAGCCTACTAAAGTCAGCATCCAGCGAGACATCCACGATACGCTAATACCAGTTCCAAGCCAAAAGTTTAACCCATTAAGTCCACGACCCGATCATACATATAATTTATCAAGAAGTTACCATGTCACTATCTGTGGGCTATCTCACCAACTTCCCCCCTTGTGCTTTTCCGCATTGTAGAGTTTGTCTCTAAAACAATTCCTAAAAGGAAAGAAATTTAGTAGTTTGTTTATAGAACAACTCTGATGACTCGACTCTGTGGAGTGAAATTACTGGCATGAGAGATGAGGATGTCTCTATTGAAGTTTGTACTCCAATAACTTTTTAGAATTTGCCATCTTGAAGGATATTATTTTGAACTCATTTGGTCCAAATCCGAAATTTGAAAAGTGGAACTTAAAAGCCTCAATTTTTAAGGTTTCCATCAGCTCAATTTCCTAGAAAGGATTAAATGAAAGGGAGCTATGAAAGAGTTTGGGAAGGGGCAAGTCGGGATTGTGTGGAGGTTCTAGAGGTGATGTTGATTGGCATTACGTTGATTGGTGTAGAGTCATATTTATTGGCAACATGAAGACAGCCTGCAGGAGGGGGAAGTGATTGCACGTTGATTGGTGTAGAGTCATATTTATTGGCAACATGAAGACAGCCTGCAGGAGGGGGAAGTGATTGCGAGTTTGAGGGTGAAAGGGAGTGAGAGCCAGAAAGAAGTGCAGGGGATTCTGGATCAAGGTTTGTTTTGTTACCAATTGATATAGAGCAGAAAAGGGAAAAAGATGGAAGGAGAAAAAGGGGAAGAAATTAGGGTTTGAGCAGGAATATCAATTCAATAACAATTAGGCATCAAAATCTATACTCATTCATCAACTTGAGTACATTATACATTCTGCCCCTAATTGTTATGGTGGGGAAGTGACTTCTATCCAGAGAGGAATAGTCATGTAATATTTATACTAGAAAAAGTAGGATATAGTTACATATTTCTTAATATGGAACAAAAATAATTTTTTCTAAATTTCTTAATAAAGTAACCACTTTGATACTCTCCTCAAGATGGAGCATGTATATCAAATCATGTCCAATAATTACATAAAAGGAAAAAATTCTAGATAATATCAAGCGAACCATTTGACCTAACAAAAGAAGTGACAATCTTCCTGATCTGCACCAACTAGTTATCTCCCTCTAGTCCTCGACAGCAGTAGCAACAACTAGTAGTGATCTAAAAGTCTAGCATATCTTGTTATTAGAGAGAGACAAACATGCAAAATTGCAGTCATAGAAGTGACAATCTTCCTGATCTGCACCAAGTGGTTACCCCCTCTAGACCTCGACAGCATTAGCAACAACTAGTAGTGATCTAAAAGTAACCAAGTGGTTACCCCCTCTAGACCTCGACAGCATTAGCAACAACTAGTAGTGATCTAAAAGTCTAGCATATCTTGTTATTAGAGAGAGAGACAAACATGCAAAATTGCAGAGGTAGATATTAGGATCTCTGACATGGAAACAGAGAGTAGGTCACAATATGGAGACAGCCAATAAAATCTTCAACATGAAGATAGATAGCAGGATATCAAACATGAAGACAGTAAAGTCTCATTGGAGACATACAGTAGAATATACGACATGAAGACAGACAATGGAATCTCCAACATGGAGACAGATTGAAGAGTCTTTCGTGTTTCAATATTATTATTATAAACCTGATGATCTAGTTGCATGGAAATGAGTATTGGTGCGGGTATGGAACATGTCAATTTTGTATTATGCAAGGTACAGGGACACGGCTACACACACACATGCACACACACATATATATAGAAATTAATGATTTATGTAAGATCACTATTGTTTGTCAATTCATGTGTTACTATAATTAAAATTCCTATCCTATTTTTAAGTTTTTTTTAATATGTTGATTATTATAAATTGGAAACAGCTTGGTTTTGAACTATACACCCAACCGATCCTTTAAAATCGTAGTTTTAAACTTGGATATGAGCTGAAACAAACCCGACACATGTCTAAATGAGTTTCAAGAAACGTATATGAAGTGTAGGATGTACGTCCAAGAAGTGTGGACAAGTGTATGCATATACCCAAGGAGAGTCCATGAAGTTTGGGTACAGGGATGTGTCGGGTAGAGGTACGACTCATGATAGAAGTACCCGAGTAACATAGATGATTATGTATTGGTACTATTATAACGAACGAAAGGTACAGATATACATGAGTGCTTTTATCCTAATTTATATTTTATGTTTTTTATATATATGTAATTAGACTCAATTTCCATATTTTCCCCAATTTTATAGTTAGCACTACACAAAAAAGGATTATACTTCTTAGTGTTTATAAGAATATCCTGTAGGTGTGGCCTTGAAAACTAATTATTTTTATGGAAATTTCTTTTTCACCTCAGTACATTTTCAAACATGTGATCTCCTGCAAGTCGAGGAATCAATGGTGAAAAGAGGGTGGAGGGAGTGATATGTTGAAAAATGCCACATGGAGTTTGTCTTCTTTATTTCTCATAGATTATCATCATGTTCATGAACTTGGGGAATGTTGATGTGGAATAAGACTGACCTTCTGAATCTAACGTTGAGTTTATATTATAAAAAATTTCACTCTATATATTAGGAACAATGAAATCTTAAAATAGTGTTATTGAGATAATGTAAACTTTTTTCTCAAATAACTAGTTTTTTTAACAGAGATATCATGATTTATCGAAAGAATTTTAATCTTTAATTAGATAATTAATTTCGCTTAACGTTTCTCTTATGCTATAATGATAACCGGTCATTAGTAACGGAAATTATCTATTCAGATTACCATAAGTTATTACTTTTCATATTTTCAATTGATTTATTTTATCTTTTTAATATGAATTATCAAAGAAATAACAACATTTGTACAATAAGATGATTGTAATTTGAGTTTGTTTTTATAACAATGATAGAAATCCCCAAAAATATCACAAATAGACCCACGTACTCCATAAAAAACATCGCGGAAAATTAGCCTAAAAATCAGACAAAATTTGATCTATATAAAGAAAACTCGATATGTTTAGCGAGATAAGGATCTCAGATTCACAAAAAGACGCAAATTTTCATACCCGCACTTATCGCAGAGCGTAGCGAATCCGCCCGATCTCAGCGCCCAGCCCCTCCTCCAATCCTCGGCGGCCAACGTGGCACCGCATCCACCGTTCATGCACCGCTTCGAAGTCATCGAGATCGTCTAAATTCCATCAAAAGGAATCAATAAAAAAAAATGGATAAGCCCTAAAAATAGAGAAACAGCTAACATCTTGCGCACAACTAACCTTCGAAGATTTCTAATGCGATCGGCGATCGAAGAGAGAAGGAATCGACATGAAAAATTTTGAATAGAAAGAGGAAGAGAAAGAGGAGAGAGAAAATAGAAAGGGGGAGGTCAAATGCATGCACGATGCTTGAAGGCACAGCTTTCTCGCTATAGAAAAATAAAATAAAAGGGAAAGTAGAATTCCTCCTTGTTTTAAATAAGAAATGGTGATAAAATAGAGCTTACCGTTTGATGGTGAAGATGGCGGTGAGGTTACCTCTTTTTCTCATCCGGTGAACTCGAGCGACTTGGGTCCGGGAGTCAAAGACAGTACGGCTGCCTGCAGAGAAGACAGTAATTTCTAAAGCCACGTTCTGAAGGTCCATTGTCAGTCAGAGACTGGGGTAGGTCCCAGATGAAAGTATGCCTACAGCTTCGGTGTCTATAAAAAGGGGTTAGTCACCTATAGAACTTAAAATTATCACATAGAACTTAAAATTAGAACTAGGATAATATGTGCGATAAATTTTTAAGGTGTTAGTCACATAGAACTAAAACTAGAACAAAATTTTACAGTGTTAGTCAAGTAGAACTCTAACAAAATTAGAATTGGGATAATGGTACAAAATTATCCCACTTTTTTTATTTTTCTATACAAAAATGAGAGTTCTAGTCTCTCAAATTATTCCAAGTTTTAGCTTGGAACTAGGTGATAAAAAATTAGAACTCATATTTATTTTGTTATTTTTTATATTTCTTTTTTTCTTTACTTCTTTCCTATTATGGTTATTACCAATCATTAGACCATCATTATAATAATAATTGTCAATATCTTATAGTCTAACCAAAAGTTATTTAATAGTAAAAAACATTCTTGTAAGCAATTATCAATTAATAATAGTAAGTTTAAAATACATAAATAGTATCTATATCTTCAAAATGCATAAATATATATTTCATGATTATAAAAATTTATCCCACGTTATTTTATCAAAATATCCCGCTTTACAAAATTATTCTTATTTATCCCACTAAAATATCCCACTAGCGAAAAATTATTCCACTTTAATAATTATCCTATTTTGCATGAAAATGTCCCAATTGACTAACACCCCCTTAGAGCATCGGTGGCATATCTGTAAATAAATCCCTTAAAAATAGCTCTCATATTTTTAGATAGATCGATTTGACGGTTAGGAAGTGTTCCACACCCAAAATGGTAATTAGCTACAGGTAAAAAGGTTATTTTAGGAAATATAATTTAGGTTAGTTAGAATTCTTCAACTAACTAATATTTCACGTTATAATTTTTACCGTCTTATTTTTATGTACTTGTGACTTTATTGATATCTCACTAAGATGGTGATGAAAATGTGAATAAACAACCTTTTGATTAGTGTCATCCCTGAATTAAACTAACAACCTTCAATTATTCATTGCTATTCAAGGAAATTCTTTCAATTAATCATAAAAAAGGAGCAACTGTATGCAAATCACACTTATACATTTCCACGTAAAGGGATGAAGTACATCTGCATGCAAGACAAATTTGCATAGAAGAAATTCAAGAACCAAGCAAGTAAACCCACAGGAATACAAAAAGACGAATTGATGAAAAAAAACTAGAAATCAAATTGTCAGGTTTAAAATACCTTTTCTGGATCAACTAAACTTTTGCTTATGGTGGGGCTTAGTCAAGTATGCCGGAAAAGACGTAGGAGGCGATGACGTAGGAGAGGTGAGGATCGGTGTAGTTCGAGGAGGAAGGATATGGTAGATAGATCTCTAGAGCGGCGGAGAGGGTGGAAGGTCAGGAAGAAGGCGTAGATGGAGGAGAAGGGTTGGGTGGAGTTGTGGTGGTGGCCCTAGCTGCGAAGAATTGGTGCAGCAAGAGAGAAAACGAAGATAGAGTAAAAACAGAGCATGGTTTTGAAAGAGGATAATTAAGAAAGTAAGTAAATAGGTTGGACAAAAATACCGTTCCAGCTTTTTAGATAGTTTTTATTTTTTTTTTCAAATTAAAAATGCTAAAAATGCTAATTTGGGAGCACCGAAGCAATGCTCTGAAAGTATAAGGTTATTTGCATATATAGCCCTTACAGGGAGGATATTTGTAAAACTATCCTAAATCATAGCATTTGCAAAAGTAACTCCAAATCATCAATTTTTGGGAGAACCCCCAAATCAATTAATCATCAAATTTTTTTTTTTATACTGGAATCAAAACCATGACCATGGAAGCCATATTGGAACCTCCCATCCATCTAAGGTGATCCATGGTTCCCCAGCTAATCATCAACTTGATAAGCAAATATCTAATTATTTTGTCTGTTGATGTATGGAATCACACAATCAAATGAAAGTGGATTAAGTTGACAGATGTCCTCTCACTCTCTAAATGTCTAGTCTTTGGGCAAGTTGTACTTCCTTGTACAAGTAACAGATTGTTAGAGGGCGGGGTGTGATTACCCGGTTGTTCCTCCGACGATCAAGTTAGTGGGTGGCTTACGAGGAGAAGTAATAAGAACGCTAGTAGTTCTTAAGTTCAGAGAATAGTGGGAAAAAACTTACCCTGTAATGAAAAATAGTTTTTTTCTTTTATAGTAATGGAATGATTTTAAGATGGTATATTTAGCCGGGCATATGCTTGCGGCCAAGGCAGCTTCAACTTTACTAGTGTCGGCCGAGGAGTGGAGGAGAGGTCATTTCAATTTAATGAGAAGTGATTGGTCATTAGTGCACAGGAGGGGCTCGAGGCCTGAGACGTTCCGTCGTCTTTCTACTCGTATGGTGGTCGAGAAGTACCGTCTTTAGAGTTGCCAGTGCAAGATGTTGACCGATGAGTTAGCCGAGTGGAGTGGTTAAGTAGTCGACTCAGCCGGGAGGTGACACGTAACACCTTTCGGGTCGTCGACAAGTGACACCTTTCAAGTCGTCCTCGTAAGATATCAGTGTGTCAAATCGACCGAGCTGAGCCTCTAATTGTCTTGACGAGCTGACTTAATTATGCATAATATGAGAGTATGAGACACATATCTACCGTCCATGGGTGATTATTTTCCATCATTAAAATAGCTATAACATTGTCAATAATATTTACAGTACAATTGTAAATATTAGCCTATTGAAGTTAACGGTTGATTGTTTTGGAGACATTGATAGTTTTGTAAATACTAAGATTTGAAAAATAGTTTTGCAATACCCATGATTTAGGGCATGCAACATGCAAATGTATAAATGTTGTGCTTTTAATGCTTTGATTATTCACCTGGATTCTTTTAATTGCTCATTCATCCTTCTAATATTACAATTTGATAATTACACAAAACTCATGATTCATTCACGCTTGACACAACCATAACATATTGCTTTAAGAAGAAGTTTTGATGTGAATCAAAACATAACACTTTTGTAATAAATAATGAGAAGAAAGAGATGAAAAATAAGAAGAGAAGTATAATAGGTATATAGAGGGGCAACAAGTATATCTTAAGATATATTTATATGTCATTTTATAGTAAAAGTTTTCAAAAATTATTAATTACTGTTTTTATATAAATTTTTGAATAAATGGGAGAATGTTGAAGCATATATTTCTTATATTTTATTTATTTAAACCAAAAATACTAATACTACATGTTAAATTGAAAGTTTCTTTTCACGTTCGTTGCGAATAGATCTCCTATAATTCCATTAGTATGGATGGACCTCTTATACAACTTGTTCAAGTGTGGACTGATCCCTTTAGGCATAATTTTGACTCATTAAAAAGCTTAAAAAATAAAGATTAGAGGGTCCATCCACATAAATAAATTTATATGAAGCCTACATGCAATTTGGCAACGCTACAGTGATCTATTTGCACTTAGATTTTTTTTCCAAATTCATAATACCATGTAAACTGGAAGCTTAATTCAGATAAATTTATAGATTAGTAACTTAGACCAAATTTCAAAAAAAAAAAACCAATCTCATGCGAAATCAAAATACAGTAAAAAATTTGATAGGTTTCAATACGCAAAAAGACCTAGTCAACTGACAAACAACTCCAAGGTGACCCGTGACCGCAACGGGTAACCTCACAGCGAGATGTAACCTCACCGCACCAACTGACACTATCACTCGTAGGTGATCATGACGCCGTATGCAGCTTGTCCAATCACAGCCGTCCATGTTTAAAAAATAAGCATGCAACTTAATGGGTCCCACATGCGATCATCGCTGCTATCGAACGGTTTTCCGTCGTTCCAGCGGATCACCCGCGATCGGGACGGTACACCAATTCTAATCTGGCCAGCGTAGGCCATCCGTTGGTCGTGGACGGCTGTGATTCGTCCAGGTAGGGGGATAGAGGCGTCCTGCATAGTGGTTGATATTATTTTTGTGTTGACCAAATTCATTTGGAATATGTTTTTGGTGTTTTTTATTAGATGCTTACGAGAGAGGAATGAGAAGAATGGGTAGTTACGAGGAGGCTGTGTTAGTTAAAGATAGATGTGGGTCCCGTCATCTTGGACCTCTAAATTTATAGGTCAAGTTGTTTTGCAATGTTCATTTTCTATCCACCATCATAAAGTAACTTAATGCGATCAATTTCATGTGACCAACATGTTGGCCTTCTTGTTTTGATGATGTTTAACAAACAATTTACCACTAATGTTGTTTGTCTAGTATTTGTGTTTTCTTATTTATTATAGACAAACAACGTTAGTTGGAGGATGAATGGAATCAAGCTTTCACGAACATATCCAATGGAGGTTGGCGGAATTGTGGAGTGAAGCAACATACAATTCAAGTTAAAGATTAAGTTCAAGCTTCATCCGCAAAGTGTATCAAGTCGAGCTTATTGAAGATCAAGATCAAGCTTGGGTAAATTAGTTTAGGGCTTATATTATGTGTGTTAATACTTCAAGCTCAATATCAGACACACACGTTTGGTTTGGTTTATCGTCGTTTTGGATTATAGACTTAACGATATTATTTTATATCTTTTATCAAGTTTATAAATCTATTGGAAAGTTTTCAAAACTTTGTTTAAACTCATTTTGTCAAGATCAAGCTTTTACAAGTCCATACTTATGTGATTTTACAAAATAATATGATTCCACAATTGGGAAATACAAATTGAAAAATTCTTTTTTGTAACATGTTCAAAATCACATTTGCAAACATTTTCCAAAGTTTTATCAAGTTTGAAATTGATTTGTTACGTTTAATTGAATTTACAAAATCATGTTTTTCGTTCGTGCATGTTCATGCATATTTTTACAAAACAGATGAGTTTTCACAAATGGGAAGTGATATTTAATAAATTCTTTCTTTTAAATGTTTAACTACATGTTTAAAAACTTTCCTCAAAATTTTATCATTTTTGGAGTTGATTTATTGTGCCCAATTGATTTTACAAAATCGTGTATGTCAGCAGATTTTTAGAAACTGTATATCTGTGTTCAAACATTTATTTCTCTCAAATGATAAATGATTTTTCAGAAATTATTTCTCTAACATGTTCTTCTACATGTCTAGAACCTTATCTCAAATTTTCATAATTTTTGGAGTTGATGTACTATTTTTAATTGATTTTACAAATCCAGATATCTAAATTTCCAGAATGCTGAATTTAGGGGTATTTTGGTCTTTTCAGCCTATAACGGCTAGTAACGGCTAGTTTTTGATATTTTCTGTTTTGGGGAGTTTGTGGCTGGTTTAAGAGGCTATAAAAAGCCCTCAAATTTCATTGTTTCTCATGAATGTTTAAGATAGTTTTAAAAAGAGTTTTACAAGTTTGTTTAAGAGTTTTTAAGTTTGTTTCAAGAGTTTGTTTATGAAGAAACTTTCACAAGAGCTTGAGGAGATCATTCTTTGGTGTTTGGGCATTCAACTCTTCTCCCTCTCTCTCTTGTCATCTTTAGAGAAGTGTTTCTAAACTCAATATAGCTTTACATTTATATATAATTGTTTGATTATCATTTTATTAAGCTAGAATTTATTTGAGTTTAGTTTGATTTGATTTACTTTTTGTTTACACACACAACCATTGAGCTTATTGTATTTGCATACATTATATAATTGGGTTGTGGGATTGTGTGACATTGAGTTGAGCCTAATTGAGTTCTCACCTTGTTAGAGAGAACAAACATTTATTATATTATGCTTATCGTGAGAATCACTTTGTAATACAATTGTACACCGAGTGAGGAGTGTGTGGTGAGAGTCGGGGATTGTTCCAAGAGGAGTGGTGTCGGTTGACGAACCTAGGGAGAGGTTGTAACCGAGCACTTGAGGGAGACACGGCTAGGTCCAACACTTGTATGGGTGTAGAGTGTTTGTTGTGTGAGAGTTTTCGGTGAACTTGTAAACCGAATGTGTAGAAGTTCCGGCTTCCAAACCGGATTGTGATAGTGGATTTCTCCCCGGGAGTGGGGAGCGGAGACGTAGGACGGAAGGTCCGAACTCCGTGATCATATTGTGTGTTTGAGTGTGCTTTGGCGTTCATTCCTTGTGTTAGTTTATATATCCTTTCATATATATATATTCATCATATAGGATATGTCTCATTGCTGTTTACATTGCTTATCCTAGCTCATTTACATTGTGGTATTTCATTCTTGCTAGGATAACTTGTTAATTTGTTTTAATTGGCATTTAATCGGATTAGATTAGCATAAGACCCTAATCACCCCCCCTCTAGGGTCTAACAATTGGTATCAGAGCTTGGTGCTCTTTGATTTAAGGTCTAATCGCCTTGAGTTAAAGATCCAAGTTAGCTTATTGTGCTAATCTAATTTTGAGCTTTATTTGTATCTTGCTTGCCTTTTATATTATGGATATGCATGGTTTAGGTTATGCCATTAATATTGCTCCTAGATTAGATAATTTTCCCTATGCCCAATGGTGTGTTAGATTTAAACTTTTTGTTCAATCTAAACACTTTGATTTATGGGAAATTATAGATGATGCTTATATTGTGCTCACTTTGGAGAAATCCAAGTGGAATAAGAATGATCATCGTATGTTTACAATGAATAATATTTTGTTAGAATATTTGCTAAATGCTTTTAATTCATCTATATCTAACAAGTTTGTTCATTTTGATAGTGCTTACAAACTTTGGAAATTTATAGAAGCACATCAATGGGACTTGGAGGCGATCCAACAAGCTTTGGAGGATCCGACTTCAAGTTCATACGAAGCTTCATGCACACGACCACTAGGCGATAGCCCTAGTAAGGTTTGCGAGTTCGAACCCGATAATAATTTATCTAGTGATGAACTTGCTTGTGCTAGTGAAAAATTATTGCATGCCTTTAACAAATTGCAAAATAATTTTAATGATTTAAAAAACAAGCATGATGTTTTAGAGTCCAATCATGAGGAGCTAGTGTCAAAATTGGATGTCATTGCAAAAGAAAATACCATGCTTAAAGAAAATAATGACATGTTAATTTTGGAAAATAAAAAATTAACCACATCTATAACTAGTAGAAGTAGAGAACATAAAAAATAACACTGCTTCCTTTATAAATGATTATTTATGTTCTACTTCTAAAAATGCATATGTGCCTAAAAATGAAGATTTGAATCTTATGAAAAATAGTATTTCATCTTTAGATTCAACTTTGAGAACATGCATTAATAATCATAAGAAGCTTCTGGATATGTGTGCCAAGTCAAAATCATCCTCTCATTATGCACACATGTATAGCAAAACTTATAAGTGTTCTATTTGCGGCCGTCAAGGTCATTTAGCTAAGTTTTGTTATGATGCACACAAACATAAGAATTCTAATGCTCCTTGTGCATCTCATATAGCTTCTTCATCTTGTATACTTACACATTCACATGCCCATTCTCACAAAGTTTATCATAAGCATGCTAGTGTGATCATTGTGATCATTTTGGCCATTTGGCAAAATTTTGCTATGATTTGAAAAAGACTTCACTTTTGCCAAATGATTTTAAAAGACCACAAAAGTTTAAATGTGATGTTTGTGGTAGATATGGCCACTTAGGAAAGTTTTGTTTTGATAATGTTTCACATTTGCAAAATAATCTTAAAAGATCATCTATGGTTGTAAATGTTTCCCGTGCACGAGCTAATGGTCCACAAAAATAAATGGATCTCTTTCATTGCACAAATTGCAATCGGAAGGGTCATTTGAGCGATTATTGCTTTGATCGTGTTAGTACACCACATATGCCCAAGAGGGTTCGTAACCCTAGGCCTTTGAGCTTTAATGATAGGGGTCATGTCCCTAAATCTTTTGGTACCAAGAGTTCTTGGGTACCAAAATAAATTTGATTTTAAACCAAGAATTTTAGTATTTTTATTTGTCTTTGTCTTGGTTTTGAAAATTATGCTTTGAAATTTTTTTATATGAAAACAATTTTTAATTGATAAAATCTTTTGTTTTCATGATTATTTGTTTTGTTTTGATGAGAGATTTGTACTTATATAACCCTCCGGATTTATTGGGTGTTTATTCCCAAATCATGTTTACCGGATGCTAAAATATTCATATGGGTTAATACTAGCTCAAGAGCTAGATAGAGTTACCTCTCTTGATTTTTGAAAATCAATGATGATTTGATTTTATGATTTAAATTTTGATTTATGATTTTATTTGGTTGATTCGTTTTTTATTTGAAAACTTTTTGCATGATTTTCATGTTTCTCTTCTTTTGATTTCATAAATCTATTCTATATATTTTTTTATATTAGTGTAATGAGACACTATCTTCATAATGACATATTTTTATATGTGTTCTCATTATCTTCATGTATGTGAGTAAATTTTTAGCATACTCTTATCTATGCTTGCTCACATATGTTTGCCATGATCTTTTATTGCATATATTCTATATGGCATTTTGATAGGGGAAGCAATCCTTATATATTTCTATGTGGGAGAAATTTTTAAAACCAACCTTTTTTAGAATTTAATAGGCAAAATCGACCTAAAGTGAAAAATATTAGCAAAACCGACCCTTTTCTTCAGAAAAGGGTCGGTTTTGCAGCTGAATGTGTTTTACGAAGTGCACGGGACTGCTAGTCCCGTGCACTTCGTCTTGAGCAGCGGGTGGCCTCGCTGCTTAAAAGTCGGGACTGCTAGTCCCGACTTTTAAGCAGCGAGGCCTGCCGCTGCTCAAGACCAAGTGCACGGGACTAGCAGTCCCGTGCAGTTCGTAAAACACGTTCAACTGCAAAACCGACCCTTTTCTTCTGAAACTAACAAGTCACATACTCATTTCACCACTACATTTCATGTAGTCCCGTTACATACATCCACACAAACTCCCACTAACAAATTACATACTGATTTCACCACATACTCATTTCAAATCAAACAAATCACATCACACCACAAACTCCCACTAACAAATCCAACATAATAACACCACAAACTCCCACTAACAAATCCAACATAATAACACCACAAACCCACTTAGAAATCAAACATACCACACGATATTATCGACTACAAATCCAAAAATAACATCCCTAAATAGTTTTGTAATGTATATAACCTATAGTTTACATACATCCAAGAACTCTCCTCCTCCTCCTTTGGCTTCGTCGTCCTCCATACCGCCCTTCGACGAGTTCGTGATCCGGTTGCGTTTGTGGTTGTGACGGTCCAGCTCCATCGTCGACACGTTGGGAAGGTCCAGCTTCATCGTCATTTCTGCGTCGTCCTCGACTTTGTCGCTGTTGTCGTGTATATACGAATGGCGTTACCTCCCGTCCATCATGACGATCTTCGTGAGTTCGGTGTAAGGCTTGTTGAAGCCTCTGCATTATAGCCTGATATATTGATACATGTTCATGTGTTTCGGGATTTCTACCTGCGATAGATAGTTCAAAAACAAAATTTCATATTAAATTTGATATTACAGAATGTAAATTTGAGATTTAATTTTATCGTACCTGCTCGAGCCAATTCCAAGCCACGATTTGCAAGAGTTTGAACTTCATCTATTGCTGATACCTGCAAATTTTTCAACACATAAAGTACCAATAAAAATGGACTTAGATCAAAATATGAAAATACTTACTAATTCTCTCTCATCTATACCCCGGGGCACATATCCTCTTTGCGACTCAACCGGTATTGTGGTCGAATGAAGTATCCACCTTCGGGTTATGCCCCAATATCAAGTGTAGTAATCTGTTTCCCGAGGAGTTGGTTCAATTTGGTTGACAATGCAAAAATGCCTATCATTCCATCTGTGTATAAAAGCTTGATGCACGATCATCCAGTTTATTTGCTGGCCTCCTTTTTTTGCCTTCCTCTCTATCTTTTCAACAAACTGCGGAACATGTTGTGCACGACCAAATTGTCGAAGCACGCGGTCCGGTACATGCATTTCTACTATCTCCAAACATATAAGAGGAACTCTAGCTCTCCATACAACTTGGTATTCTGTGCATATTGGGGGTAGCTGAGGTAGAAATTGGGTGTAGGGCTCCCATTCCATCTATAATAATTTAATGCAGTTGCATATCAGAATTGGGTTTTCAGTATGTAGAAAAAAAAGCGCATGTTTTTCGGTGAGAATTACCTGAAAAATCTTCATACGGTCAAGCTCATTCCGGTAGAAATCCAATTGTCTAGCCGGGGTCTCGTCATAGCATTTTTCGACATTCCATCTACAAAAAAATATTTGTCATACATTTAGTACCACAATGATAACTACAATTATATTCGCTACACTAAAAATACAATACCTGCATCCCAGTGGAATTTGTCCATCTAATTGTAAATGCGTGCATAGTCTCGGCTTCAAATGAAGTCTCTCCCATGCCCATACTTGCAATAAGCTTAGACACCCTTTAAGCTCACTGTTTTGTATAAGTGCCACTTTTGACATCTCTCTATATAAATACGCCAAAACGGCACTTTCCAACTAGACGTATCCTCCACCTCCACGACTGCAAATGCTAGAGGAAATAACCCGCCATTTGCATCTACACCGGTCGCTACAAGAAGCACGCCTTTGTACTTTCCATATAAATGTGTACCATCAATGCTCAATAGCGGACGACAAAAAGTGAAGCCCTTAATAGCAGGACCAAATGCCCAAAACACGCGAGTGAACCTCTCCATACCCGGTGCAATCTCTTCGGATAATATTTCGTATTCAGTACCCGGATTATTTCGTTTGATAGCTTCAAGATACTGTGGAAGTAATTCATATGATTTTTCCCAATCTCCAAAAATTTTAGACAACGCTTTCCTCCTTGCATCATATGCCTTATATTTAGATATCTTAATCCCCCGCATGTCATATACCCTCTGAAATATCTGACTTGCATTCAGATCAAGTTCAGCTCTAACTTCAGGCATAATTAGCTTACATATATAAGAAGAAGATGCAGAATAATCATCGACATCCACCGACGGGTTGCAACATGTATGAAGTCCGCAATATCTACATATTACAAATTGCCCATTTGATGATTTTCTCACAGCGGCATTTAGCAACCAAGGACATTTTTTATTTCTCTCATCTTGCTCATTTGCATTCTCTACTTCATTCTTATCGTTAAAGAAGCATTTCACATTGTAGTTTGTTGCATTAGTTTTTACCGGCTTTAATTTGACCCGATTCTTGATGGACCATTCTCGGATTGCAAAAATCAGTGCCTCCTTGTTCTCGAATAGATCCCCTTTTTTAAAAGTGAAGTCCTCAGGTCGTTGTAAATTTGGCCCAACATCAACAAATCCAGCTTGAGAAGTATTTATCCAATCCTCATTATGAAACTCGTCGGGCAACGGATCTTCAGCTTCCACATAATCATTGTTAACGTTAAATTGCTCCATCCAACGGGCGTCATCATCTATTCCAGCTGCCACATGCATGCTATCAATTTGCACGCCATCTTCTTCAAAATGATCTGAATCATCATCTGCTTCATCTTCTATAATTGCTCCGACTGGTGGGTAACCCGTAACATGACCTGAAGCGTCGTTAAATATATTAGTTGACGTCCCACCGATAGAATACTCACTTAAACGTTGTGGTTGAGACCATGGCTCTTGACTTGGAGATGTCATAAAACCAATCGACTCGTTGTCTAAGTCAAGCATCCGAGAAAACTCTCCTTGAGGTCGTGAAACTTGGGCAAATTCCTGAATCGGATACTTCTCAATAAACAACTCAATTGACGTTTGCTTCTCGACTAATTGTTTCATGTCATTCAATTCCTCATCTTCAGTAATCTCCACGGCAATAGTTCTACTCTCATTTATCGGACAATTGAAGAACACCCTAATTGTATATTCTTCTTTCTTAATTTTAGTAACTCTGTGTATTTCCCTAGTCATTCCATCAAAATTACACGACTTAGATAGCATGAACATTTTCCGAGAACCTCCATCATACACCGGCAAATTATTCACTCCGACGCCGAGGCTTCCATTAAAGAAACAAATAATGGATATGGAGTTCGTCATCGAAACTGAAAATACACAGTCCATCATATGCAAATAATCTATTAATATCTGAATAAATTCCAAATAATGGCTAAACCCCTAATTATTATTCATCATATGTAAATAATTACTAAACCCTAACTCCCAAATCACATTATTCATCCTATTGCACAAAATAAAAACTAATCCTACCCAATTCTAGCAAAATTAACAGCAAAATTAACAAAATAATTGCTAAACCCTCTCATATGTAAATAATTGCTAAACCCTCTCATATGTAAATAATTGCTAAACCCTCTCATATGTAAATAATTGCTAAACTAAACCCTAACTCCCAAATCACATTATTCACTCAATTCTAGCAAAATTTGATGAATATCCCTCTCAAAAATTAACAGCAAAATTAAAAAGAAAAACACACCTGAGGATGGGGGTTCGATGGGGGTCGATGGTGTCGGCGCCGCGACGAGGTCGGAGGGCTGTCACGAGAGCGGCGGACTGGTCACGAGAGGAATGAACGAAAAAAACCCTAGACCGTGCAAATGGCGGTGGTCGGCGGCGGTGATCGGTCACGAGAGCGGCGGATGGTCACGTGCAAATGGCGGTGGTCGGCGGCGGGGGTCGGCCATGATCTTCATTGCATATTTTCTATATGGCTTTTTGATAGGGGGAGCAATCCCTATATCTTTTTATGTTTGATACTCACCCGTGCTTATTGATAGGGGGAGCTTTCGCTCTCTTAATTCTTTTGTTCCCTTTTTGATGTTGTCAAAGGGGGAGAAATATTGTGAGTATATTCTTTCTTGTTTATATGCATGTGAATTATAAATTATATATTCATTTCCTTCATGCATATATCTCTTTTTGTAAATTGTTTGTCATCATCAAAAAGGGGGAGATTGTTGGCCTTCTTGTTTTGATGATGTTTAACAAACAATTTACCACTAATGTTGTTTGTCTAGTATTTATGTTTTCTTATTTATTATAGACAAACAACGTTAGTTGGAGGATGGATGGAATCAAGCTTTCACGAACATATCCAATGGAGGTTGGCGGAATTATGGAGTAAAGCAACATACAGTTCAAGTTAAAGATTAAGTTCAAGCTTCATCCGCAAAGTGTACCAAGTCGAGCTTATTGAAGATCAAGATCAAGCTTGGGTAAATTAGTTTAGGGCTTATATTATGTGTGTTAATACTTCAAGCTCAATATCACACACACACGTTTGGTTTGGTTTATCGTCGTTTTGGATTATAGACTTAACGAAATTATTTTATATCTTTTATCAAGTTTATAAATCTATTGGAAAGTTTTTAAAACTTTGTTTAAACTCATTTTGTCAAGATCAAGCTTTTACAAGTCCATACTTATGTGATTTTACAAAATAATAAGATTCCATAATTGGGAAATGCAAATTGAAAAATTCTTTTTTGTAACATGTTCAAAATCACATTTTCAAATATTTTCCAAAGTTTCATCAAGTTTGAAATTGATTTGTTATGTTTAATTGAATTTACAAAATCATGTTTTTCGTTCGTGCATGTTCATGCATATTTTTACAAAACAGATAAGTTTTCACAAATGGGAAGTGATATTTAATAAATTCTTTCTTTGAAATGTTTACCTACATGTTTAGAAACTTTTTTCAAAATTTTACCATTTTTGGAGTTGATTTACTGTGCCCAATTGATTTTACAAAATCGTGTATGTCAGCAGATTTTTAGAAACTGTATATCTGTGTTCAAACATTTATTTAGCTCAAATGATAAATGATTTTTCATAAATTCTTTCTCTAACATGTTCTTCTACATGTCTAGAACCTTTTCTCAAATTTTCATAATTTTTGGAGTTGATGTACTATTTTTAATTGATTTTACAAATCCAGATATCTAAATTTCCAGAATGCTGAATTTAGGGGTATTTTGGTCTTTTCAGCCTATAACGGCTAGTAACGGCTAGTTTTTGATATTTTCGGTTTTTGGGAGTTTGTGGCTGGTTTAAGAGGCTATAAAAAGCCCTCAACTTTCATTGTTTCTCATGGATGTTTAAGATAGTTTTAAAAAGAGTTTTACAAGTTTGTTTAAGAGTTTTTAAGTTTGTTTCAAGAGTTTCTTTATGAAGAAACTTTCACAAGAGCTTGAGGAGATCATTCTTTGGTGTTTGGGCATTCAACTCTTCTCCCTCTCTCTCTTGTCATCTTTAGAGAAGTGTTCTAAACTCAATCTAGCTTTACATTTATATATAATTGTTTGATTATCATTTTATTAAGCTAGAATTTATTTGAGTTTAGTTTGATTTGATTTACTCCTTGTTTACACACACAACCATTGAGCTTATTATATTTGCATACATTATATAATTGGGTTGTGGGATTGTGTGACATTGAGTTGATCCTAATTGAGTTCTCACATTGTTAGAGAGAACAAACATTTATTATATTGTGTTTATCGTGAGAATCACTTTGTAATACAATTATACACCGAGTGAGGAGTGTGTGGTGAGAGTCGGGGATCGTTCCAAGAGGAGTGGCGTCGGTTGACGAGCCTAGGGAGAGGTTGTAACCGAGCACTTGAGGGAGACACGGCTAGGTCCAACACTTGTGTGGGTGTAGAGTGTTTGTTGTGTGAGAGTTTTCGGTGAACTTGTAAACCGAATGTGTAGAAGTTCCGGCTTCCAAACTGGATTGTGATAGTGGATTTCTCCCCGGGAGTGGGGAGCGAAGACGTAGGACGGAAGGTCCGAACTCCGTGATCATATTGTGTGTTTAAGTGTGCTTTGACGTTCATTCTTATTTGTGCTTATTGATCATATCGCCAATTGTGCATTGCTCATTGTTATATCATTCACTATCTTGTTTTTGTTTATTGTTTATCCTTGTGTTAGCTTATATATCCTTGCATATATATTTTGCTATATATCTCTTTGCTAGGATATATCATATTGTATATTGCTTATCCTAGCTCATATATATTATTGCATTTCATACTTGCTAGGATAACTCATTAATTATTTTTAATTGGCATTTAATCGGATTAGATTAGCATAAGACCCTAATCACCCCCCTCTAGGTTCTAATACAACAAATCCCATAATGAATTCCAGATATAAGCTTGGCACGAAGTGGAAATAAAAACTAATCCTTCAGCAGAATTACAACTTCTAATAAACTCCTGGCGCGCGTGCAAATTATTCTGATTCATACAAATTAAGATAGCATGGGCTTGTTTGGAAGTTTTCATGTCCCGTTGTATGCACCAAAAAGCATGCTCTCATGTGTGGTGATCCATATAAATACATGTAAGGGAATGATTTGGAGGTTTCTTTGTCCCGAGCATGTGTCGAAAAAACCTGCTCGTATGCCATATAATGACAAATAAGAGGAAAACTTGGAGATTTTCATGTCTGATTGTATGCATCAGAAAAGTCTGATTGCGTGTGTGTTGAT